CCGACAGCCTTCAGTCATTCTGATCTGGTTTCATCTCATCTGGACTTTATCTACCAAACAAACTGGTTCTGTTCAGTAAAGTTCTGCTGATGGTTCCTTTCAGTCCAAATGGGTCCATTTTACTGATGTTCTGTCTGTTAACTGGATTTAAACTCATTTCCTTTGAGAACAAATGGATCTTCCTGCAGCGTCTCCATCCTGCTCGGCGCCGCTCAGCTCGGTCCAGAACCTGGTTCTGATGGAGCGGTTTCCTGTGGGTCGGGGTGGTTCTGTTAAAGTTCTGGTGGAAAAGTGTTCCTGATATCTGTTGGTTAATGTGAGACGAACAGAACCACTGAGTTCTGCAGTTTTGTGGTTTTCATTCTAATTAATAAAGTTTTCAATAAATTTAAATGAATAAGGTTAAATAAAGTCCCATTGAAGTTAAATGATGAATTCAAATTGCTAAAACTAAACTGATCCAAACTGATCAGAGTTTGCGTAATTAATTAACAAAGAGCTTAAATGTATCTTTATTTTTTGCTTTTCTAACTGATCACTGTTTGGATCAAAGTTTGCAGAACATTTAAACACGAGTGAAGCTCAGCTCTCTGACACTGACTTCATTTTTATCTCTATAGTCTGATTTGGTTTTCACATTAATTCAGATTATCTGTTTCCTGAATTCATGAATTTAATGATATTTATGAGCTTTTAACACAGCAAAACATTTTGTTCTGCTGCTAAAACTAAATGACTGAAATCATGTCCTGTTTCATCATCAATGATATTGCTGATATAGATCTGCAGGGAAAAAGCTCAACCGTCTCCAATATAAAATAAAACCTAATCATCTCATTGAAGCATTCAATGAAAATTCAACTAAATTAGGCTGAATCGAATCACATCTGGACAGTTTTAAAGTCATGTCCCCTCAGAATAAACTTTGGGCCGAGTAAAGCACAGCAATAAAAGCTGGATTAGACGTACTTGATTAAACCAGGACCATCGCTGCAGCAAGACGTATTGTAAGTCATTTTCAGCTTAATGGTATGTCGTCACATAGCAACGCATCCACTCAACTACGACTTTTACTTTGAAATAGTCAACTTTAAAAATGTACAACTCATTAACGCCCTATTTTTCCTAAAGTCGTTTAAACAGCTGAAGATCAAGAACAGAAACGGCTCAGGAAGTTCAGCAGGGAAAGGAAAGGTGACCAGATAGCAGATCTTTCTAAATCCCTAATTACTCATCCTAACTCCATCCACAGAATAATCTGGCTTTGAACAAACAAAAAGCTAAATAAATCTGTGGATATAAAAGTTAACACACCCCTGATCAAATGTCTGTTTCTATGTTGTAGAAAAATCTAAATTAGTGATGCTCTGATTAGGATGAACGATTCTGCCAAAAGAAAGATTTGTGTTTTTTGTTTTTGCTTTTTTTTTTTTTTTTTTTTTTACCAATAATAGGATTTTATTTCGATTTTCCTTTGCACTAAACACAAGCTTGTAGATGCTAAATTCCAGTGTTTCATTTCTTTTTTTTTTTTTTTTGCCTTGAACGTTTTCTTGTCCAGTCCATTGTTGTAGGACTTTACTGTAACCTTTGTTTAATAGAGTGTTTACTGCTACTTGCATTCATTGATCTGCATGTTAGCTGCAACTTTCTCTTTTCTCTTTGGCAGCAAACCCACTTTAAACGTTTAATCACCAATTAAAGGACTGCAGTTAGAAATGATGTGCCCTACTCTTGTTAAATGTAATGTGACCAAAATTGAGAGCCTTTTCAATTTGAAAATTGCATTTTATCAAATTGTGATTATATAGCAAATGCAAATAAGTGTCCAACTCTAGTTCCAATCACATTGATATAATAAATTGGTTCAATATCAGTCAATAAATGAGAATCGGTATAAATCAGGCTGCTGCTTAACCCTCTGATAGAAACACTGTTTACAGTTTAACCCTTTGGTTACTAATGAATGACTCAGCTGTTCTCATTCCTCCTGTTATTGTTCTCTGTTTGAATGAAAATCACTTGATCAAACCTTTTACATTATTTCACTCTAATAATTAATAAAAGTCCGTATGATTCATGCTGATATCATTTCAGGTTAATATTGATGTAGGGAAAATATGTATCTGCATTGCATCCTAAATAAAAAAGTTGTTTCAGGACGAAACTAATCAAGGTAACAATTTGTACCTAATATCGACTTTTAAGCCTCAATAATTTAGAAATACTTCCTGGACAATAAATAAGATTTTTTTTAAAACAGCAGAATGTTCAATTTATTGGGACCATCTCAGTGATTCACATCATGTTTAATATCAGTGATAACTGCTGGGAAAATTATAGAACTTTTAAATATATTTAAAATGTTAAAAATGTTTAAATGTTTAAAATGTTAAAACAGGTGTGTGTTACTGTGTGTCCTACTTTCTATAAACAACAACAAAAACAATCAATGATGAAATAAACACAAACCTCTAGTTTGGTTGAAGCGCCACTTTCTATTTTCAATTTCGGCTTTGAACCACTGCTGGGAACCCTGAAGCATTCCAGTCTGACTCTCCCAGTGCTGCTCATCATTGTTCTCCTTCATCCAGTCCTGTTTAGGAACCATGTTCTGGGTGTTGCTGTCATAGTAATCAATCTGAAGATCATCAACCAAACCAACAACCACAAACTCTGGGAAGTTTGGGACTTGAGACGATCCCGTGTAGAAATACTTCAGGGAGTGGGTCACTGGAAAAAATAACAATATGAATTAAAAATATATAAATGATAGAATAATTAAAACTTTTCTTCACACAAGTTAAATAAACTAAAGACCGTTATTAATAAAACTAGACTTTAAATAATAACACAATCTTTTTAATCATTTCTGAGGAGTTTGTTCACTATAGATACAAATATTATTGTTAAACAGTCGCTTTATTAAGTGATTTTTTTTATTGTAGTCCTTTATATGTTGATTAGACAAAACTTTTGTAGAAGCTTAATGTCACTCACTCTGTTTTACTAACTTTATATAGTTAAACAAATTATAAAAAAAAAAAAGGAAGATTTCTAGTCAGCATTTACAATTCTTTGTAAAATAACTAATAATTCACTAATTCATCTCACACTCAGTCTGGATTTTATGAAGTACATCTTCTAAACAATGACTTAAAATGAGGAGAAAATATACATTTTTTATTGTTAAATAAAATAAATGAATAATTGAACAGATAAATAAAACCTTTATTGACACCATAGAAAATACAAAGGTGAATCTGTTTGTTTAATAAATGTCTCAGTCCACTGTGTTTAACTCAGAATAAATAACTGCTTTATGGTTTAAACTGCTTCACTTTTTTTCATTTTTAATCTAGATATTCTAATCTTAACTGAGAGAAGAGCAGGTATAGTTAATGTAAATCGATTAATCTTTTGATTATTTTTTTTATCAATCGATCAATAACAGGATAGCCAAAGGTTCCTTAAAGAAGATTTTTTTACAAAATTAAATGAGGTAAAACTAAAATGTTTCCACTATAGGCGTTCTGGATAAAGCAGATTGAGAGAGAAAAAAGCTACATATATTTTTTTATACCTTAAATTCAAAATGTTTAAATATTTTTTTTACAGTTTTGGTAAAAGTACTGCTCTAATGAGTCACTCTTTCAGCTAAAGGAGTATTTTAATGTTTCTATACTCCAGTTAACGATTAATCAATTACTAAATTAGTTGATGACTGAACTAACATGTTTTGTAATGTGTTCATTGCTAGCTGGCTGTTCAGCAGGTTCTGGAGTTAAACAATAAATTTAAATCTATAGTTTGGTAGATATAGAAACTGTTAAGTTTAATTTAATACCTTTAAAGAACAAGAATATCTTTTAATAACAATATTCTATTCTATTATTTTTTTTATACATAATTTTTATTTTTAAACGTTTTCACAGTATCAAGACATATGTAAACATAAACATATATAGGAAGCATGCCAATATTCACAAGAGAAGGTTTTAAGTACAGAAACGTATCATTTATACAAAATCTGACCGTAAGGGTTTTATGTACTCAGTACATTTAGTCCAGATTTTGTAAAACATGTCCTTTTGCATCCTGAGGGAAAAAGACAACTTTTCCATGACATATATTTGGTGTATTATATTGATCCAATCATCAATAGTTGGAGATTCCACTCTCAGCCACTTTCTTGTGATGGCCTTTTTACTTGCAATAAGTAACATACCAAGTAATCTTTCATCATTGTTATTCCAATTTGTCACAGGAACATCACCCAAATACAGTGTTTCACATTTAAGGGGAGTTTTAGTACCAAATACTTATATTAACATATTCACCTATCTGTGTACAATAATTAATTATAACGTGACATTCCCAAAAAATATTGAAGTGGTTGGCACCAGTGACCCCACATAGTCTCCAACATGCATCCCCACCACCTTGATGACGTTTCTGGATGAAATGATACGTTTGCTACGTATGATACGACCTATCTGTAATTTAGTATCTGCCAATAGCGCCATGATAGGAACCTCTTTTGTAATATCAACTTCTATATCCTTCCATCCTGCAGAATAGGTTGGCGAAGTTAAACAGGTTAAGGGTCTAAGCTGGGCAGCGTAGTAATATTCCTTAAGACAAGGAAGGCCCAATCCCCCTTTCTCTTTAATTAATTGAAGTGTTTTGTATTTAACCCTGGCTCTTTTATGTTGCCATATGTATTTCGCCAACATCCTGTCCCAATCATCTAAATATTTCTGAGGTATTTTAATTGGTAAACACTAAAAAAGGTAGAGCATACAAGGGAGAATATTCATTCTAACTAATTTCGCTTGTGAGTATAAATTTAAGAAGGGAACAGTGTTCCACCTCTGTAAATCAGATTTTACCTTTGAAGTTAAGGATCCGTAGTTAGCATCGACCAATTTAGGTAAATCCTTTTTCAGAACTACCCCCAAATATTTAACGTGTTCTGAGTCCCAGTTCCATTTGTACATGTTCTTAATTCTAATGGATGGATTAAAATTCAGACGTAATATCTGGGTTTTGTTAACATTAATTTTATATCCTGAGACTGATCCGTATTCTTCAAGTACTGTCATCGGTGAATAGGGCCAGTTTTTGTTCCCCTGCTGTCATTGTAACCCCACTAATATCAGATCTTAGTCATATCCACTGTCCCAGGAGTTCTAGAAATAAGGCAAAGAGGAGTGGAGAGGCACCACAGCCCTGTCGGGATCCTCTCTGTAGAATAAAACTGTTAGTCAAATCCCCATTTACTTTGATCTTGGCCGTAGGTTTACGGTACAGTGCGGCAAAAGTATCAATTATGTTTGAATGGAAACCAAATTTTGATAAAACTTTATACAAAAAAGCCCACCGTACCGAATCAAAGGCTTTTTCAGCGTCTAAACTCAGTTTCCAATTAATGCTGATTAACATGCTTCATAATATGCAGGGTTTTTCGAATATTGTCTTGGGTTTGCCTTTGTCTAATAAACCCTGTCTGGTCTTTGTTAATGAGGTCTGGCAGTATTATTTCCAATCTTTTAGATAAAATTGAGGTGAACAAATTATAATCAATATCTAATGCTCACAGGTTGTTATGATACACTTTGTATCATATTTGATACATACAGTTTCTGAAATGTTTTGCGTCTGACACCTTTTGCATAATTTTATGGTAAAAACTTTGCTCAAAATCCTATTGTACACAACCAGATATACCTGATAACAAAAAATAATCTTGACTTATCGCATAGCAATAAATTATTAATATCAAAAATGTATTTCTGTTT